GCCGGCAAGAGTAAGCACTGCCGTTATCACAAAAATCACGGGCATACAATAGAAGAGTGTTGGAGTCTCAAAGACCGAATTGAAGAACTTATTCAGGCTGGCCAACTTGGGCAGTATGTCCAACGCGGGCAAACTTCTCGAGGAGGCTTCCGAGGACATGGTAGAGGTGCGGCCGATATCCCAGCCGATATCAAGGACAATACCAAAATTACCAAGGCCGATATGAGCAACACAATTACCACCAGACAAATGCACACGAGGAAAGCAAACCAAGCACAAATAGCGCAGACCCGCAACACATGGGTAAATCCTCTGAGGGAAATAACATACGCGGAGTCATCAATACCATTTCTGGTGGATTTGTAGGGGGAGGAAGTTCCAATTTTGCCAGGAAGCGACATCTACGCAATGTCCAAAACGTCAACAATTGCAATAACTCGGAACCTATGCCAGAAACACTGACTCCTCCCATTGTTTTCACCGATGACGACTATGAAGGCATCAGCCTAAACCAAAATGATCCAATGGTCATCTCGGTCGAGGTAGCTAATTGGGAGGTCCAGAAAACATTGATTGACCAAGGTAGTTCTGCCGATGTTCTGTATTGGCCGACTTTCTTGAAGCTTGACATTCCTCATCATATGATCCAACCATATTCCGAGCCCCTCGTTGGGTTCGCAGGTGAGCGAGTTCATACTCGTGGTTTCATTGAATTATTAACCTCTTTTGGTACAGCTCAGAATTCAAGGAGAATCTTGATGAAATACCTGTTGGTTGACGCTGTCACTTCTTAAAACATCCTAATTGGAAGACCAACTTTAAATCAATTAGGAGCAATTGTGTCAACACCCCATTTAACTATGAAATTCCCGGGCACAGACGGACATATAATAACTCTCAAAGCTAATCAGCAAGTAGCAAGGAAATGTTATGCTGAAAGCCTGAAGATTGCACCTACCAATCTTCAACACGAGATGTCAACCTCTACTGTTGTCGCCCATGTCGGTACAAAGGAAATGGCTGACCTGGATCCCTGAGTTGATATGCATGATTGCTGACCTGACCACATTGATGAATTAATTGAGTTTCAAATTGGCAAAAAACCAAACCAAAGCACCAAAATCGGAAAGCACATTGAAGCTCACGTTCAAGGTCAAAGCATGTCAATACTTACTGAAAATGCTGATCTCTTTGCATGAATTAGTGCAGACATGCCTGCGATAGATCCAAATTTCATATGCCACAGACTAGCTATCTACAGGGAAGAAAAACCTGTATCTCAGAAACAAAGAAAGATCGGAGGTGAAAGAAGAGAAGCTGTCAAAGCTGAAACACAAAAACTTTTGAATGCAGGGTTCATCAGAGAAATCAACTATACCACTTGGTTAGCCAATGTGGTGATGGTTAAAAAATCCAATGGTAAATGGCGCATGTGTGTCGATTACACTGATTTAAACAAAGCCTGCCCAAAAGATGCTTACCCACTTCCCAGCATTGATCGATTGGTTGATGGAGCTTCAGGATACACCATGCTTAGTTTCCTAGATGCCTACTTAAGCTATAACCAAATATTGATGTACCCTCCAGATGAAGAGCACACTGCTTTCATCACAGAGCAAGCTAATTACTGCTACCATGTCATGCCCTTTGGACTCAAAAATGCAGGAGCCACCTATCAAAGACTCATGGACAAGGTCTTCGCCAATCAGATCGGCCGCAACCTTGAAGTGTATGTTGACGATATGGTCATTAAGACAAAATCCATCGAGCATCATGTCCAAGATATTGAAGAAATTTTCAAGCAAATACGAAAACATAACATGAGATTAAACCCTGAGAAATGTGTCTTTGGAGTTCAAGGAGGCAAATTCTTAGGCTTCATGATCACCTGTAGAGGAATTGAAGCAAACCCCGACAAGTGCCAAGCATTGATAAACATGAGAAGTCCCAAAAATCACAAAGAGGTACAGAGGTTGGCAGGACGACTTGCTTCGTTATCTCGGTTTATTCCCAAGCTGGCAGAAAAGGCCAAGCCGATCTTCAATTTACTTAGAAAGCCTAAAGAATTCTATTGGAATGACCAATGTGAACAAGTTTTTACCAACTTCAAACAATTCTTGTCAGCTCCACCCATCTTGTCCAAACCAGATTGCCAAGTTGATCTCCTACTATACCTTGTAGTGGCTGATAATGCTCTCAGTGCAGCACTTGTACAAGAAAATAACAAAAAGCAAACTCCCATTTATTTCATCAGCCGAGTACTACAAGACACCGAGAGAAGATATCAGACAATAGAGAAGTTAGTTTTGGCATTGGTGGTCTCATCCCGCCGACTTCGCCCCTATTTCCAATGCCATCAAGTCATTGTGAAGTCGGACTATCCTATTAAGAAAATACTCAGAAAACCTGACTTGGCTGGACAGATGATAGCTTGGTCAGTTGAGCTATCCGAGTACGGGATAAAGTATGAAAGCCGAGGACCACTCAAAGCTCAATGCCTAGCTGACTTCGTTGCTGAGCTCACCCCTGTTCCACCTATTGATGAACTAATCTAGACATTGCACGTAGATGGATCATCTAATGTGAAAGGCAGTGGTGCTGGCATTATTCTTGAAGGACCAAACGACATGATGCTTGAACTTGCTATTAAGTTTGATTTCAAAGCTACTAATAATCAGGCTGAATATGAGGCTTTGTTAGCAGGTTTAACACTAGCCAAAGACGTTGGTGTAAAGAGATTAAAGTGTTGCAGTGATTCCAAGTTGATCACCGAACAAGTAGGAGGAGGTTATCAGACTAAAGAGCCCCAACTTCAAAGGTATAATCTTATGGTATCTCGTCTAACAGCTTTTTTCGATGTTTTCCAAATAGAACACATCCCATGAGCACAGAACGTCAGAGCCGATTTGTTATCAAAGCTTGCTAGCACTAAACGTCCTGACCAACATAAGACTATCATCCAAGAAACTATAGCTGCCCCTAGTTGTCAATTTGCAGCAATCTTTGCCAACAATCCCTGTCAACAAGGTTGGATGGCCGATATCTGGAAATATCTTAAAGATGGGGTCTTGCTAGATAGTAAGGTGGAAGCATCCAAAATTAAAAACAAGTCATGCCACTTCACCATTGAAGCTGATGAATTGTTCAAACGAGGCTTCTCCATGCCTCTCCTCAAATGCTTAGACACAGATCAAGCCAACTATGTAATGGATGAGATCCATCGTGGAATTTGTGGCATGCATTCTAGAGCTCGGTCCATGGCTGCCAGAGTTATCCGAGCTGGATACTTCTGGCCAACTACGAGGTCGGACTGTAAGTCATATGTACAGAAATGCAAGGCCTGCCAAGAGTTCGACAATCTACACCAGTTACTCCCAACAACTCTACATTCCATGTAGTCAGCATGGCCCTTTGCCTGGTGGGGGATGGATATTCTTGGTCCTTTTCCAGTAGCCAAAGGTCAACTAAAATTCTTATTAGTTGGCATTGATTACTTCACAAAATGGATTGAAGCTGAAGCCCTAGCAAAGATCACTGTGGCCAATGTTCAAAGATTTACATGGAAGAAAATTATCTGTAGGTATGGCTTACCTCGTGCTATAACCACTGACAATGGAAAGCAGTTTGTTGATAAAAATTTTGAGCAATTTTTGGGGCAACTCGGAATTAATCACAAAGTTACTTCGGTTGAACATCCACAAACGAATGGTCAAGTTGAAGCTGCCAACAAGGTTGTCCTTAGAGAACTCAGGAAAAGACTTGGCTCATCAAAAGGAGAATGGGTGGACGAGCTACCTAGTGTTTTGTGGGCCTATCATTGCACACCACAAACTACCACCCAAGAAACCCCATACAAGTTAACTTATGGGTCTGATTCCATGATACCAGTGGAAGTCGGGGAACCGAGTCACCGAAGACTAACTTTTGATACAACTCAAAATACAGAAGCGCTGAGAATTGATCTCGATCTCATAGATGAAACCAGAGAGTGCGCCCAAGTTCAGGAAGAGGCATGCAAGCTCAGAGCATCTCGGAGATACAATTCCAAGCTTAAGCCGAGATCTTTCCGAGAAGGGGACCTTGTTTGGAGAGCTGTCAGAGAAGCTAGAAAAGATATATCAGCGGGGAAATTTGCAGCTAATTGGGAAGGCCCTTTCCGTATTTTAGAATGTCTGCAAAATGGTGCATACAGACTTGTGGAATTGAGTGGTAAAGTCATCCCAAGGACTTGGAACGCTACTCATCTGAAATTTTATTATAGTTGAAATGTGTAAACCCAAGTAATGTACTCTTTTTCCTACTTCAGTCTTTTTTCCCAATAAAAAAGAAGGGTTTTGGCTGAAGAGGTTTTAATGAGGCATACTTGAGGTCAGCAAGAGAGATGTAATGCACATATAACTCTATATTACAAATTCTCTCTTCTTTCAATTTGGTCATTCTCTCTTCCTTTAATTTAATTCCTTCCCCGTTTTTAATTAATTACGATTACGCCAGTCTTTACTTTGAAAATTGGCCAAGTCTGAGCCAATGTTAATAAACTCGGCCAATTCTGAGCCAATGAGTTAATGATTAATAAACTTGGCCAAGTCTGAGCCAATGTTAATAAACTTGGCCAATACAGAGCCAATGAGTTAATGATTAAAAACTTGGCCAAATTTGAGCCAATGTTAATAAACTCAGCGAATTCTGAGCCAATGAGTTGATTATTAATAAACTTGGCCAAATTTGAGCCAACGTTAATCCTGATTTGGAAATTGACCAAGTATGAACCAATGTTTATAAACTTGGCCAAATTTGAGCCGACGTAAACTATAATCTGGAAATTAGCCAAGTTTAAGCTAACGATCTCAGCATTTGGCCAAATGTGAGCCCACACTATTTATATGATTTATTCTGTTTCATACCATGTCAATTATTATTTAAGACTCGAGCATTTTATCTTTACGAAGGAAATCTACACGTATATAATAACTTGCTTATCATTGAAGCTAAAGTGTATGTCATCAAATCACAATTACTCGAAACCAACAAAACATAAAATATAGTGTATATCACTAAAGTACACCTACTCAAAATGAACACATCATATGAAATATCCTATTACAACTTCATTATAATATTAATCTTCACTGCTAAAGTCATCAGGCAGGTCATCCTCACTGATTAATTTTCCTTTCAATTCATCTTTGTTGATATCCAACTCGTGAAGATCAATCTCTGGGGCTATTACTTTGATTTGTCGAAGTGCCTTGGCAAACCCTCTTCTATGTTCCTCCATTACATGCAACTCGGTAGCCTCAAGTTCTGAACTTAACTTATTATTTTTCTTCTCAAGTTCAGTAGCTTTTTCCACATCCGCAGCTATCACTTCTTGACAAGCTTTGTTTTGCTCCTTCAACCGTTGCAACTCATCTTGCAATTTCAAATTCATACGATCTTTCTCTTCAAGCTTCATCTTCAGCTCAACATTTTCTTTTTTCTCTTTGACTGTTTTCCTCAAGCTTCACTTTCAGCTCAACATTTTCTTTTTCTTTTTGTTCTCTCTCTTTCTCTATTCTCTTTACTTTACTCAAGAGTTCTTCCACTTTGGTTGAGTACGACTTGTTTGACCGAATTGATATCTCAAATGCCTTAGTTGACTCTGCCAATTTCCCCTTCTTATCATTTAACTCGGCGGTCAGCAACCCGATTTTTGAATTTTTCGCCTTCAACCTATCCATCTGTTCTATGTTTCCCCCCACCTTTTTCTCCAATGATCAACCACAGCAATTGACCTCTGCAAGAATACTTCCACTGAATCCAACCCCTGTACAGGACCTACTTTTTCAATCAATGCCTTATCGGCAATGCGAGCAGGATCCTCTTGATAAATGGCATCCGCTGTCAGTTTAGCATTCCAAAATAAAGTAACATCTGGAGAGATGCTTACGTGATCTAATCTCCCAAGGGGATTATTGGAATCATATCTCTGGTGCAATGTCCAAGGTCGACTAGTTTGATCACCTTTAGCAGATCCTCCTTGTGGTATTGGAGATGAGAAACCAAGCTAGGCAATTACTTTTTGTAGTTCCGACATCGTGTCATCAGGCGAAATCGAATTAGCTGTTTTCTTAGACTTCAATGTCTACAAAACAAAAGGAAACTAGCATATGTTATCATATTATAGAAATTTTGTTTCCAACAATAATACAAGAATACTCACCGTTTCTTCATCAAGAATCACAACGACTGGCTTAACTCCCTTTTCATGACCAATCTCCGATGTTGAGGAACTTGGAATATTCACATCGGCAACAACTGGATGACTTGAACTAGCAGTTGGATGAGTTAAGCCGCCAGTGGGCCGACTTGAATCAGTATCCTTCTCTCCCATCTTAACCTCAGCTTGAACAGGCCCCGGACGACTTGAGTCCACATTTTTGTCCCCAACTCGCTGTTCAACCCGTTGTTTTTTTCTTCTTTGCCTCCACTTTTTCTGTTTCCACATCTTTATCCCCATATTTTGCTTTCAATTCTCGCCATTTACTCTGTCCCATAATACCTGCACATAAAACAATGCATAATACCATAAGTTATACACATACTTTTCATTAAGTGTAGATATTGTTTTATCATACTTACTCTCTAGATCGTCTTGCGGATTTTTTGATCCTGCAAGCAGCAGAATAGCTTTACTTTCTAACGGTCGAGCTAGCACTTCCAATTTCTCTATATCCTTCTTCTCCGCAGCCGATAATACTAAACCTTTTGACCCATAAAATCTTATGGGTTGTGATTTCCAACTTAGAGGAAATTTTGGTTCACCATTCAAGTGGAAAATCGTGTCTGAGGTTGCGTCCTTATGTGCAGATTGTACTTTAAAAAACTCTTCTTTAAATTTTTTATATGATTGCAAGAAGATCTGAAACAAACCCACATTCGAGCTTCCACTCAATGACACCCACCCAAAGGGTGGTTCCCCCAACTTTATTTGATAAAAATGCATGAAAACCCCCAAACTCAGTTTAATTCCCATTACTGAACATAATATTTGGAATATGAGTACAAAACCCCAGCTATTGGGATGCAATTGACTCGGTGCTACATTAATCTTTTTCAGAAATTCAAACTCGAATGGGGTAAAAGGGATTACCACACCCAAATCTCTAAACAGGCATTGATACATGTATACATGGGGAGGAGATGTTGACACTTTGAAAAATATACGTTCCTCAGACGAACACGGTTCAATGGAAAGTTGCTCTAAATATGGAGGGAGACAAAATTTCAATTTATGCTGCAACAAACTAGCCTCCATTTCATTACTAACCTTACTCTCATACTTACCTACATCTCCCCTCACCCATTTGTACCTAGTAACAAGAATCTTAGGGTGGGAATCTTTCCTGTTGTTCCCACCCCTCTTTTGAACGCTTGCATCCTTTGCCCTACTACCAGTGATTTTCTCTTTCGGTTTACCCATTTCCCCAATCCCTATTCAACACCCAATACCATATAAAGATCAAGAGTAAAACGCTTGATACCTGCGATGTGTATGCTCCTGGAGATTTCTATCCTCGAGTATCCTATTCTCCACGAATGGCTCCTCTCGCAACGAATATGGCGGATAATTGTACACAACCACCGTCCAGCCTTATATATATACCTTACTTCTTCCAACTCTTCGTTATCTCTTGGAGCACCGCAACCCTTTGGTAACACGTTTCGCGTGCTTCCAAATCTTACACATTCAATGACTTGCCTTAAACCACTCAATCGTCATGATTAAATGCCGTACCTGCTCACGCTTCCCTATAATACAGCTGTTGGACTTATAATGATACGCCTTCTTATTCATACACGTGTAGCCTTTCAGCTTGCACCGTTCTGATTCTTTATATTGCCTTTTCGCCTTTCTCGTGGGACGATCTGTCTTTCTTTTTCTCACCTCTTTCATTCCTCCCTCATTCAGAGCTTGGGGGGCTTATGTACCAACCTGACTCGAGCCGAGATTAACCGAGTTCAAAGGTCAACTCAGCCGAGGTGATTCCTTGGACAAGCTAGGATAAATACATGAAACGCTAGTATGCCACATGGGATAAAAGATATTAACAAGACACCTCGGCATGTTGACGATCTCGAATACAATTAAACCGCAAACTACTCTCAGAAGATAACCATACGGCAGTTACACGGTTACACGGAAAACCACCATAGGTAATGATATAAGCAATACATGAGATTGGGTACAACAACTAACTTGATCGTCGGAGTCCTTTTTGCAGGTACATCCCAGACGTGCGAAGCAGAGATCGACCAGGCAGACTAATCTCCCAGGCAGACTAATCTCCCAGGCCAACTTCAGCAAATACCTTACAAGATCAGCATGGACGAAGAGAAGCACCCGAGTTGAAAGTCCGACCTCAGTCTTGTAAGAACACATTGGATTTAAGCAAGTACATATTGACACCTAAAAGCTTGCTTGTTGGAGTTGGTCGAGCTCGGAAAGGACCTCGGGGTGGATCTTTTGTGTGCAACACTAATATACAAAATTAGTTGTTGAAGAATCGATTTTGAATATTATTTTTAAAATCGGTGATTATCCAATTTTAAAGGTGTTATATATAAAATCAAAAGAAACAAAATTAATTATATAACTAATTGTTTAGGTCCAAAACAACCGATTTAATAGGTTACTTTTTCACTAGTTTTACAAAAGTATTTATGACATGAATTGAATACCAAATCCTTTTTAAATAGAAAGTCTTTATAACATGAGAGTACAAATTACATGACCACTACATCAATTTATCAAGTTTAATATACGTTGTTGCAAATGTATTTTTTTTTTTTATATATAGAAATCATGGTATTTATATATCATATCGAATTCTAATACCCATACTTACATGGAGAATGTGTCCACATATACACGTATACATAGCCTTTCACCATCAGGACTTTCTGAATGAGTCAACATGAATAAAAATGTGACTTTAAATTTCTGTTGGCGCCCGAGCGAAAGATATTTTCATCTGGGGTTTGTTCTTGTGGATGCAAATTGGGGAGCCATCAATGTCACATGGGACCTAGGTAGACAAGAGAATTTAAAAATGTCTGGAAATAGGGACGTGCATTCGATGAAAGAAGTATAAGCCTGACTTCAAATCCTGGGTGTGTTTCCAGGTTCATGTCCTACACTTGTTGGATCTAATGAATACCACGGCCCCCCTACGATGTGTTTCTTTATCCACCATTGCTTATTATATGACGTGGCAATATTTCAGCGAGAAAGATTTTGTTTTCAAGTTTCTTTTTCCAGCAATCAATGTGAGAACGTCTTCATATCAATTGTGATATGTTGGAAAATAATTTTGTGTACTATTGTATTTAGAGGTACGATATGAACGTGATTGATTTTTTTTTTCTTCTTAATATTTAAAAGTTTCATATCACTTAAAAACACTATAATAAAATGAACTTTTAATGACATTTAATATGATTTTTAGTGGCAATAAAAATCGTTACAAAATCTTTTACTGACATTTCACACATTATTCTATATGCTGGTAAAGACCCTCATAATGGTCAGGAAAAGTGTATAACTTTTTGTGTCATTTATTACTGACATTTAAAATTATCGCTAAAAGTTTAAGAAAAGATTTATAATACTCTTTAATTATCTTATTTTTAGTCTATGTAGGACTTGTAAGATGAGTACAAATACTCTTTAGTTACCTTATTTCTAATTAAGGTAATCTTCTAAGTATATATTCTTTAATTTTTTTTCATTATCTTATCTCTTAAATACCAACTTAGAATAGTAAGTTATAAGCCTAACTCAACCTTATAAAACATACTTGTAAGGTGAGAGTTATCATTCACTTATATACTCTTTAATTATTTTATTTCCAATTGATGTGAGACTCAAGTTTTTTCTAACAAATAATTGTCGCTAATAGTAAATTTTCTCTTTGCCGCCAAGGACGACCTCATCACAGAGGCACTTCTCAGTCGCAGCACCAGATCACTCTTCAAGGAGGTCACCTCATCCTCTAGGGAGCGAACTCGACCACGGGAAGACGTCACCTCGTCTTCCATGGACTTACGTTTCGCAGCTCACCTTCTCCCGCGGTTCTTGGTTATAGTGATGCTGATTGGGCTCGCTGCACGGACACTCGTCGGTCTACCTATGGCTATGCTATCTTTCTTGGTGACAATCTCTTGTCTTGGAGTGCCAAGAAACAACCTACTGTTGCCCGCTCTAGTTGTGAATCTGAGTACCGGGCCATGGCCAACACAGCTTCTGAACTTGTTTGGTTGCTCAATCTCTTTCGTGAACTTCGTGTTGGGTTGTCTGCGACTCCTCTCATTCTCAGTGATAATCAAAGTGCATTGTTTATGGCTCAGAATCCTGTCGCTCATAAGCATGCTAAGCATATTGATTTGGATTGTCACTTCATCTGTGAGTTACTTGCCTCTGGTCGCTTGACTGTTCGCCATGTTCCTACTTCTTTACAACTTGCTGATATTTTTACAAAGGCATTGCCTCATCCGTTGTTTGAATTGTTTCGATCCAAGCTTCGTGTTGGTCTCAATCCAACGCTTAGCTTGACGGGGGGTGTTAAGAGCTAGTTATGAGGACTAATATCCTACCATTTATTCTCTCATTATTATGATGTAATTTCCTGTTTTACATTGTAATCTTTTTCCTTTAA